TGTTTTTGAGTTGACTCAACTGAGGCTCAACATGATTGAAGACTCAACATGATTTCTATCTGCTATATAAAAAGCTTGGCTAACATCTTGTCAACTATCTTTAATTAAATAGGAGCAAACCAGCATGATTTCAGCTTGATCTATTTTTAGCTGATTCAGCGACTTACTAAGACACTAAAGGCAGACAAAAAACACATTTTAAGACTCTCTAATATATTGTTAATCATATAGTTCAACTTATCTTATCTAAAATATATTTGCAGAGTCTTAAGTCATGAGCTTGCATATCTTAATTATCTAATATAATGCCATATCGCAGACAGCTCGTATATCTCCAAGGGGAACTTCCACTAGAAAAACCAATTGATGAGCTTTACGCCTATCGCTTTTAGCTCAAGACAGTTTCAATCCGCTGTGAGTTCATTTCATTTAAATAAATATTGTATATATGAACTTTTTTTGCTTAATTTAATAATTATTTTGCTCTATTTCTGTGTGGATGTTGCGCGCCTAATCAATTTCAATTGAAGGTGTCGCATGGCACTTGTTAAGGCTGATCTATTGAAGGCCTATTGCTGCCTATAACACACCGAAATAGCAACTGACGTAGGCGAACGTTATTGTATTATAACACTTAAGCGAAGGTCATGCGAAAGATGTCGAGCGGCTAAACCGACATCAGCTTTCATCTATAAGTGCTATGAGTGCGGCTAATTGTTGAAACTGTCCAGAGAAGTTGATCCACTTTGTGCCTACCTTTAAGGCTCTGACACAATCAGAAAGCATTTTGACTCACCGAAACTGCAAAGAGAAATAAATAAAGAAAGAAAAGTTTTAGTTTTAGTCATGAAGTTTGCACTTAAGCACTATAGATTGTTTATAGACCTGTGATTAAATTGTCAATAAAAAAACAAAAACATAAGTTGCAAAAGGGAAATGCCAATTACTTATAGATATACATATATAACTGGACAGCGATTGGCGAATGTTATTCACCTTGAAGAAATATATTTTCTAATTGGGAGAATTCGCATTTACTAAACTTCAGTTCAAACTCGACTGCTCCACATGCAAAGAGAACAAAGATTGCAAAAATATAAATTTGAGTATTTTACATATATAGCTTCTTATATAACCTTTCTCTTGTTACTATACTTTGAACTCTGACTTATAATACCTTGAAATACATGTTTATACAGCCAACAATTCTCCCACAATAAATTAATTGCTTTGCTGCATTTAAACATAATAAAAATCAAACTAGTTTCTACACATTTGTTTGCTTTTGTCGCTTATCTAGATTTGACTTTCAAATTTGCAGGTTTTTTTTTTGTTGAGTATCAGATATACATATATAACATTTAACTAATTGCGAATAGTTATCATAGAAGTTGTCAAGATAAGCGAAACTTGAAAATAAAATTGATAAGGAAAAGAGTTAGACGGCTCTAATTGGATATGCTGGACTCAAGGATACCCTGTCAGCTGTTGCCAGCTCAGAATTCGTCTTGAAATGATCATTCCATTCCATTTGGTTTCCTTACTTTTTCAACTAATCTCATCAAAATGAAACAATGAGAACCTCATAATCGCTCTATAGCGTATAGATTTCAATCAGCTTTCATCCAATCTCAATCCTTATCATATAAATCAGCACATGCCGTGCTGCCTCCCACAGAGATCTTAATATAAACCATAATCCCTATATATATGCATTTCCCAAAGGGTTCCGACTTTAGGAAACAGCAAAGCAACCTCGACGTTCGTATCGTATTGTAAACTAATGTCGCATTGAGTATCAAATGGCTGGGAAATGAATAGAAATAAAACAAAAACGTGCACTTCCTGTAGAACAAATCACATTGCAATCAGCTGATCATTTTGTATAGCTAGACCAAGAAACCCTATATAGCTCCAGGCATACATAAATATATACATATACATATAAATATTCATTAATACATATATATGTGTGTATTTGTTTGTTTGTTTGTATGCCCTAGACATGTGCCGCTAGATTTCTGATAACTGATGCCAACACTTGTGACGCACTTGGATAGGGGAATACGTGATTCTACGATTCCTAAATAGAAGCAATGAAATAGAAAATACAGTAGTTACTCAATATGAGGTAACTCTTATTTGCATTGGCACATTTATAAAATTGCATTGAAACTGTATTCAATTTATTAAAAATTTTTGCATAATAATTTATAATGAGTCATAACGTTAGCAAGTTCTGTTTAGCTAGCGTTCACTGTCGCGCTTCATATGTATTATATACAAACATGAATCTATCTATTCAGACTCAGAAACGTTTCATTCTGCTGCTGCGGCTGAGGCTGCTGCTTGACAACTGATTATTATAGTTTTGTTTATAATGCGCGAACCGTAGACCGCCGTCTTTCTCTGCCCCTCCCCCTATCTCTATCAGTCTCACGCTGTCCCTCTCTAACAATTCCAACACCTTTGTTGAGTAATTTGCGTATCAATGAATTTTGTGTTGTTTTCTTAGTATTATTATCTGTTCGCTGACACTCTAGCGCGCTCTCGCTCTCTCTCTGTGTCTCTGTGTGTCTCCCTCTACTTCTCCCCTTCCGTATCTGACGATTACACCTGTTTGCTTAGCTTGCCAATTGCAAGATTCATCCGCCGCTTCGGCGGAATCTGAAATTTGTCATCAAAATTTATGCGGAAGTTCGTGTTTTTATTTTTGATTTCGTACACTCGCATTCCAAGGTTTTTGGGGGTCTCCCTTTGTGATAAGCTTCCAAAACTTTTCTGTGTCATTTTGGCCGTGTTGGCGCTGCTCATTGATAAGCTTCACGTCGATTTCCAATTGCTACGAATGACGCTGCCGTTCCATAACAATTCAATTTGATAAGGCCAGGCCAAATCATCTAGGGTCTATCTATAAAATAATATTCCACTATATTTATTTTTATGTACCTATAATTATGATGATTGTGTGTATGAGGTGAAAGTATAGAAATATTGATAGACTTTTTCGAAATGTTATGGGGTGGGTAAGGTATTTAGAGAGTAGAAGAACTAAAGGAGTATAAGTGTAAGTGATAAAGTAACTAAGTAGTAGTCCTAAATCTGAACTTGGGAATGGGTATATTTAAAAGAATTGTCAAAAAACTAAACACTAATATTAATAAATCAAAAACTTATTCCAAATTAATCTTAACTTTTAAAACAATCTAATGCAGGGTATATACTAGTCGAGAATTCCCACAAAAACCACACTTCTTCCTCGCTGTCAGCACCCTTTGGCGCTATATAACTCTTATACAGGGTATATTCTAGTCTAGCTCTATTCTAGCTCTACTCTTCTGAGTCCCAATTTTTTCTAGCTTCCAGCGATTTCTGTCGCTATCAAATGATAGTGCAGCACGCATAATACCTCATGTTTGTTCTCATTCTGCTCGAATACGTTTTTCTTTTATTGGGGGTGCCAAGAACTTTGTTGCCCGAGTTCAGTTTTAGGTTCCTTCTAATCTCGTTCGATAATACACAAACATTTGGGGCGTGTGTGCTGCAGCAGAATCCATACATACATATGTAGAATTTTAAAATTAGGCGATCGACTGACTGCGTGTGGATTTTCTAGCGTAAAGATTCTCTATAAAGATTTGTGTGTTGTTTCAGATTAACAACATGAATGGCATTGACCTTGCCTGGGCTGGGTGTACTTAAGGCGCTTTCGGAATGCTTGATTGCGATTTGTGTTTTCATTTAATTTGGGGCAAAACTTTAGCAGAACTTTTATGGATCTACCTAATCATAATTTTTTTATTTTTGGCCGCAACCTCAAGAAGCTTGGTTTTTTATTTTTATTTTATTTGTTTTTAAGCACAATTCATGCAAAAAGCGTATTTGGCTACGCATTTGGAGGGGTAACGCGCTCGTCTAACGGCACTTTTGGCACCCAAACAAAAATTATAAAAAATTAAATAAAATTGCGCAAATGCCAAAAAGAAAAACATAAAAAAAAACAGCAACAACTGCAAAGTAAATACTTATGGTAATAGCATTTGAGGTCCGTTAGGAAACGGAGCAGTTGAGGGCCTCGTATCGTAAGTGGGTTAGCTGCTTCTGCTGCTTCTTCTTCTTCTTCTTTGTTTTTAACTTTATTTTCATCTCCATATGACACTTCAGCGGGGCCATAAAGAGTTGAAATTAAATATATACATATGTATGTATATAGATATATGTATGTATATGTATACAAATATATATTTATATACAAATCACACCTAAGGGCATACGAGTAGTGGCACTATGTACTTGTGTGCGTGAGTGTGTCTGTACGTCTCATGCCAAACGAAGCGCAGCAACAACAAAATACAATAATATATTACATTAGAATTTCTAAGCAGGGCAGCATTTGCATAAGCTACTGCGTTTCATAGCAGGCAGACTGCGAGAGAGATTGCTTTTGGCTACATACTTGTATATTTATAAATATTCAATTCACTTTGCCAACGCTTGGAGAGCGCTTGTAGAGCGAAGCAGCATGCATAAGCAATTTAAAGATGCGGCTTGGCTGCTGAGTTTTATAGCAGCGAGCTGTGGTGCAGACGCTGTCAATGCAGTGATCTTTGAAACGAGCTTAAAGGATGAGGATAACAAAACGCGAGAAAGAGAGAGAGAGTGAGTGCTGTAAAGCAATGTGCGATGAAGCAAGCAGTTGAGGTTACATAGTAAGCAATCGTATTTTAAGCTTGAGTTCTATAGCATTCAGCTTTGCAATAAACAGCCAGCCGACTGCAGCTTGAAAGGAAAAGAACTTAGCAATAAAAGAAAATGATGAATGAGGATAAAAACTTAAAGATAACTAACTTAAAAGATAACTATGAATAAGATTTGCAATAAGGGAGCAAAAAACTACCAAATAATAATAATTAAATTAATAACAGATACTAAATACTATCAAAGCTATATTTACACTTAATATTAAAAACCTATTAAGTGAAATTAAAAACCAATTTTTATATGAATTTATAGAGCATGTATCATTTTATAGAAAATAGCTTTATACATAATTTTTTATTAACAAAAATTCAAGACATAATCAATTAAAAAATTTCCAACCAAAAAGAATATTTTACTAGCGTATTTTATAGCACAAGACCTTTTATAGCAGCCAGCTTTTACAGCTAGCATGAAATGGAAAGCTGAGCAAAATCGAAGCCCGAACACGTGCTGCAAATTGATTACAAGAAAATAGCGCAACAAATCGCGAAACACAAAGAAAACAAACTAAAATAATTAACAATTCTCTTAAGCAAACAAAGCGTTGATTAGTCTCAAAGGGGGGCCATAAACAATAATAAAAGAATAGCAACAAATGCAGAAAATTTATTTTTAAAAAATAAAAGTGGCTTAAAACTAGGTAAAATTTCACTCGTATCGGAACGTCAGCAACTATAACCTAAGATGTTTGCTCTCGTTGTCTTACCGTCTCTCTCATTCTCTCTATCTCTCTCTCTTTCTTTCTCTCTATCTCTTTGCATGACTCGGCTGTTGCTTTGATTAACCCTCGTTTCGATGCTGATTTAAATCTTCTTTGCCAACAAAAGTCTCAGCCCGCCTTTCGGTCCCCCCCTTTGACTGCTCATTAGTGAACCGACGAACGACATTGACAACAATATCGATGCTTTTGTAAATTGATTTTTTTAAGGTTCTCTGCGCTCTGCTTTTTAAGTTTTGTGCAAAAGTTTCACCTGCTGACGGTTCGCTGGCTCTTTTATTGATTCACTCGAACTACACAAAGTTGAATAGAATTTCCACGAGTTTTCATCCAAAATTTTTCTATTCAGCGAGTCACCACTGTGCCACTCAAAAGCCATATGGATATGTTGGGCTAAAACACAGAACTCATTTGCCAAATGTATTTCAATGGAAAAAGCTGCTTCAAAAACCGCAAAAATAAAGAGCTTTTGCAATTGGGTATTACCGACCGCAGAATACTCATTCACGGCCTAAACGCAGTCAGACCTATTTTCAGATTTAGCATGACCCCACCGATATATGCACAATATTACATATTATTATAAATCATTAGATCTTCTAAAGTAATTTAATTGTTGAATCTTGCTTCTAGTTTGTCGCTCCAAAACTGTAGAAAATACTCGTAAATATATCCGCTATATCATCATCTATGATCCCTATTCCAACCTTTAAATCTCTAGATAGACGCACGAACATCAATAGGGACATTGCACAGAACCAATATACTCACTTCACTTTCCTTAATGACATAAACATAAACAAATATATATTATTGTTTCAACGCTAAATTCAATAAAACTTTGAGTAGGTAAAGTGCTAAATAAATAGGCATAAAAAACTGCTTAGAAACAAAACGAAACGAAAGGAATTAAGTAAACAAGCATCGTAAAATTGTAAAATTAGGCATAAAGTCGGAACAGATCGCTTATCTGTAAACATCTTGCTAATGTCAGCTACTGTTATATAGTATATATAGAATATATAGTATAAATATAGTATATATATACCGAAAAGCTGAACCTTATCGGCCTGGTACGTTTACCTCAAGTGGCGCTACGAATTTCTCAGTTCTGTTTGTTTATAAACAAAGCAAAACACAACAAAAGTTAAGCTATGTATATACATACATATAAATCTGTATATACTATAGGCCGGGCGGAACTGTGAACGGGCTAATAGATTGAATGAAAGCTCCGGGCACAGATGTTCGCCAATTTGTATTCACAAATACTATTGAGCGCAATCCAACACCTCGGAATTATTTATTGCAAATGTCATCGGACCCAAAAATATTTAATTGATATTATACTTAAAGCATCGGGCCTGAGATTGCTGATTAGATTTATGACTTCAAAACGTGCTTTTTTTTTTTGGCACAGACAGATCCATAATGCGATGCATATATTTAGAAATTAATTTAAATAAATATATACATATGGACATTACATACATAAAGGTTTTTTTTTTTTTTTTTTTTTTGCAATCATAAAAGTTTAAAAAATTAATTTATTGTCACATAAATCATGGATCATAAGTCTATCTGCTTTTGACTAAGTGTTTATAGGAGACAGCTTAAAACATTTAAAATGCAAAATTCATTTACTATATTAACTTAAGATCATTTAAACTGGGTTAACTCAAATGAAGCTAAACTTTTTTTATTTTTATTTTTTTCCTCTTCTTTTGTAACTTTTAGTAACTATTAATATATTTCTTCAAAGATTTACTTCATTTTTTGTTGGAAATAAATAATAATAAAAAAATAAAATAAATTTTAATAATTTCTTTTTAAACTTTTTTTTGCTACCTTTCTCATATTTTATATTTTTAGTAAAATGAAAATATTTCATTTTCAAAGAAGAATTTTAATATTAAAATAATAATTCATTCTACTTTTGTTTAGATTAAAAATTTTTCATTATATTTCACTCCTTTCATTTTAATGAATAAGAAATGCAATTAAAAGAGTTTCCGTGCCGCAACTTCATTTCATATGAATACAGAAAGCAGAGCAAAACTCCTTTTATTTTGTACTCGCTCACACTCACAGCACACAGACAATGTCCTGTTTTTTTTTTTTTTTTTCGAAGAGATGCTGCACAACTCTCCCTGTACTATGAGCTCAGTTGCAAAAACTCTCTGTCGCTCTCAGCTTTTGACAAAAAAAAAAAGAAAACAGAAAAAAACTTCACGCAGGGCGCGAAAAAAATTCCCATTTTGTTGTTGTGGTGGCTGCAGACAGACCAAAAGGTTTCTCAATTGGGTTTGTGTGTGTGCAAGTCTATGCTCGCCGCAACTGTATTGAATTTGTGCTTCTTCTTTACCTTATGTTTATTATTGTTGGTGTTGCTGGTGCTGTTGTCCGAAGCCCAAATTCTAATTGGAATCGCTTTAGTAAATTGTTGAAACACTTTTAATTTGTTTTGTTAAACTGTTAAACACTTTAGTATTAAATGAATATGAATATTACTTTTTTATGCCGTTAGATTTTTAAGATTATTACTTTTAATTTTTTTTGTGGTATTAATTTATATTTGCTTCTTTTCCTCTAAGCGTTTCATTCAAAAAATTTTTTCGCGTCGCCGCGTTGTATTTGATTTACCGTTATTAACGAATTTCACTTTCAATTTTTTCTTACGAATTTATTTTTATTTAATTTTTAATTTATTTTTAATTGAAAATATTGCCGCGTTTTATTGCACCGACTCCGATTACGAATAGAACACAAACATCAGCGACTGCAGTTTCTTTTGGGATGCTGCTGCTGCTGCTGCCGCTTCTCTCACAATTGAAATCAACAATGCGCGAACAATGCGAAAACAAATGACAAAAACCTTTTGGGCAACTTGAAAGCGAATTTCAACTTTCCGCTCCACACAACCGCACAGCGCGAAAAAATTTTCTGAACTGAAATCCAATAAGAGTCTGCTGGCAGCAGGCAGCAGGCAGCGCAACAGTGACAGCCAGCTGCAAGCGACGGACAAAAGCAACGAAAACGAGTCGAAGAGAGTTCGGATAATATACACGAGTATATGCCCTGTAAAAACATATTATACATAAGTAGTTCAATTATATAGCATGTATAATATTCTATTGCTTTACTGAGCTTTTTATATTATATACGAACATCATCTCATTTATATTTATTAGTAATTTTTAAAATGTGCATATATACTATTTAAATTATCTGCTTACGAATCGTATATACCCCACATTACTGTATACACTCGGCAGGCAAACGCACGACGGCAACAACAATGAAAAGTACAGCTCTCAAAAGTAGCAGCAACAACAATATCTGTTTCAGCACTGCAAACACAATGTTGAGAGCGAAGCGAACAAGAGAGATTGAGAGAACGCGCATGTGAGAGCAACGCACTACCAACAACAACAACAGTAGCAGGCAAAAAGTAAACACAGTGGAACAGCATAATTATATATAAGAGCGTAAATACAGAGAGAGCGAGGTAGTGAGCAGCAAAGGTGTGCGTGTGGGTGAGCTATCGGCACGGTGTGTATGTGTGTGCCTAAGCGGGCTTTTTGTTGTGGGTTTTGTGACGACATATGTGTGTATGAATGTAGAGAGATAGAGAGAAAGACGAAGAGTAAATAGCATGGAGTAATGTTAGAAGTTTTGACTGTGGAAAGACAATATTTATGTTAAGTGTGTTTTATCTAGATAAACAGTCATTGAAACAACCACCCCCAAGAACACATTACTTCGATTTCGACAAACACGAGCCCACATTAAATATATATTACCCTCACTTCACTTTCATAATAGCATGCAGATCGATCATGTTGCATGCGGCTCTTAAAACAACCCTCATTGCATGTAATGACAGCACATTAAATTACTTTCAACGAAATGCGAAACACTTCACTCATGATAATCATACCCGCATATGACCGATGGCCATCGAAATTGCATTGTTACGAGCTGTGTTTTATTGGCCTTCATTCAAACACTTGAATTTCAACCCCCCGAGTATTGATAAATTGCCCCGTGACAAATCTGTGTAGCCGATCTTGAAATGTAGGAAATCAAAGCGAGTAACAGTCTGGCAACGCTTTAAGCGCCACTTCGGAGCAAAGTCAAAATGCAAATGCAAAATATTTTCTTTACCGTCGTGACGGTCGCTCTCTTGTTATTGTTGCTGTCTCTGTCGTTGCTGGAGAGCAAGCAAAAGCAGTGTATGCAAACACAATTTTGAGCGTGCCCATTCGTTCGCTCCCGCTCGCTCTCTCTCTCTCTCTGACTGACGCTCTCCAGCTGTTAGCAGCGCCGCATGTGGTAACAATAACAATGTGCTGTTAAATAACAGTGTCGCTAACATTAAATGTTAGCAATTCAGATTTACTACCCGAGGCAAGATTTTTCATTTATAATCTCTTATTAGAAATAAAATATATTACATTTAATGAAAATTACGTATATAATTTACACAATAATTCGATTAAAGCGTGACATAGAGGAAGTAACCCGGCAGCTGATAATGTACCAACATGAACAAATCTCGCGTTGCGACAATCTGCGGGCATTTGTACTCTTATCAAACACAAAGGAGGAGAAGAAGAAGAAGATGTGGGGGACAACAAAAACAACAAAATGTTTATTCCAATTACACCATACGCAACAGCTGTTGACAACAGGCCAACTGAAAGATCGAGTAAGAAAAACCAGAAAGAAACAGAAAAAACAAAGTGAAATGAAAGAAAAACAAGAAATCAAAACAAGCTCAACAAATCGAGCACAGACGATGGAAAATGTTGGGGATGTGCTTTGAATAATTACGATCACTCGATCGGGCCCGGGTGCTAACATACCCAAATCATGGCCAGAACAAATGATATGGAATTGTGTCGATCACGAGCACACGCCCCGAATTGTCAACATCGTGCAACAGGATTGTTGAACTAATTTTTATAGCCATTCTGATAGCGATCAAAATGATTAACTTTCTGGGGGGAGAACAGGTGCGCTGGAATGAAGCGGGTGTATTTATGAAAATTGTAGTAAAAATTAGATTAGACGCGGTGAAGAAAAGGTTAAGAAATAGACAATTATAATTGTAGCTGGTTATCTCATTAAAAATTAAGTTTACTTACCTCTATTAGGGGTTTTTTTTTTTGTGTTTACATTTTAAAATAACATTTTTTAATTAAATTTTTGTTACAGTTTTCTATTTGAATATTAAATAAAATTCTGAATAAATTAATTTAGAAAAATGTATTGCATTATTATTTATGATTTACATTTTGTTCCAAATGCCTTAGACTGAATAGAGTATTAAATTAACATAAGGGATTAATGTGATTTATTACAATTTATAGTAAAAATAAATTGAAATAGTGGAATTTTTTTTTATAAGAACTTAAAAAATATTAAATAAACTTAAAAAATTTTTTTTATAAAAATTTAATTTCTTAAATTGTGTTAATTTTATTTTTTTTTTTATGAAGTTCAATTAATTGAATAATTTTTGTATCTTTCATTTTTTTATGTTAATTTAATTGTTTAATTGTTTTCTACTCAGAAAAAACATTTAAGTATTTCGTGAATTTTATAATTATTATTATTTTCTTTTTTTCTTATTGCCTAAGATTTTTGTGTTTTAACAAACATATATAATTTTTTAAGTTGTACTATTTATTTCGCATAATTACTTACTAGTTTTTTTCTTTAAAATTTTTTTATGTTTTACATAAAATTATGTACATATGTATGTATATAGTATTACACAACTACAAACTCTTTGCCTGCAAACATTGATCTTTTCTTACCATGCTATCTCAGCCAACTATTGCTATCTCTGTCTGAAACGCACTCTTCGATCGTAGGTGCTGTCCAATTGTAGAGCAAGAAACAGTAGCCAACTCAAGATATATCATATAAGTTCTTTCCAAGAAATCAGCATAGGTCAAGCAGACGATGCAGACGAACCCAAACGATAGACAGAGAAAGAGAGTGAGAGAGAGGGGGTAAACAGACAGTGAAATTGGCGGCGATTGAATGCAAGACCCCGACGACGACCTCAGAGACAAACAGACACAGAGAGTGAGACAGACAGCTAAATATACATACTTCATAAGTAATCAAAAAAAAAAGTTGCGTAGGACCAGTGCAAGAAGAAGAAGCAGCAGCAGCAGACTCCAGTTGAAGTAGAAGAGGCAGACAAAGGCAGAGTCTAGACTCTGATGAGCTGCAGATAATGCTGCTCAGTTTTTATATCTTCATATATCCATACATATGCATTTTTTTTTTTTGTTTGTTTGATAAATGCGGCTCATCATGTAATTTTAAACGCAACGCGCATGTTAAACAAACAATTTTCCGTGACAGTGTAAAATTTTTTCCTCACCGGAGTGGGGGCTATAATAGGGAGCTACATGTATGTATGTATGTGTGTTTGGGCTAGCCTAATGTAATACTTGACAGCGGGATGACGCGTAAAGAAAGCGAGTGTTAAATGCAACTTTTATGCCATGTTTTTTATCTTCTTCTGCTGCTTCTTCTTCTTGCAACGTGTTGATGGATTTCTTCCTGTCATACATATACAACAAGAAGCAGCAGAGATAGAGAGAGAGGGGGAGAGAGAGGGTGGCCGAGAGAGGGCACAAAGAGAAAGAGCTGCCAACCCGTTTAGTGGCAATGCATGTGGGCTGATGTCGTGATAGAACTTGTTACGCTTCTGCTTCTTCCTCTTCAACTACACTTAGCTCGTAGTCGCATTCTAGTCAAAACACAACAACAAAAACAACAAAATTATCATTCCAAATGCGTGTACTACACACACACACACGGAATGTGTAGGTGCAGCTGTGTGTGTGTGTGCGTGTGTGGGTGTGTGAAGGTGGCAGCAGGTAGCAAAAGCTTTCTAAATGAAAAACTTGATGATATACCATAAACATAAATGAACCCTAGACCCTTCAATTCTAAAATAATTTTGTTTGCCTTTTTATGTTTATAAAGATCATAAAAAAATTAACTAACTGTATATCAAATGGTAAACATAGATTTATAAAAAAAAAAAACTTATTCTTGACATACTTTTATATGTGAATAGAATTCCCATTCAATAATAATTTGGAAATTTTGTATACTAAATTGGTGTTGGCATATCTATAGTAAAAATAAAAAAAAAAAACAAAAAAAAAATAAATAAATAAATAAAATAAAACTAAAAAAAAAAAACAATATAAATATTTATAAATTGAATGATATATTATATTAAAATTCAAATTATATTTGGTAGCTGAAAATAGAGAATTTCTATACTAATGCATATTTATATAGAAATATTTAAAAAATATATATAAATGAAATATTAATTAATCAAGTGATATATGTACATATTAAATTGAATTAAGAAATACTATTGCTATTTATTATTATTATTATTATTTTTCTCTTTTGTAATATTTATTATTTGTATAATATTGCAAATGAATTCAAAATACAA